GCTTTGCTGGATTCGCGCACGAAATCCATCGTCAAATCCGCCATCTGAAAATGACGGAGTCCCGCTGCAGGACGGTACAAATCCGCCATTTATGGTCCTTTTCGTCCATGCAGGAATTTCGGCGGAAGTGCTCGCAAGATTCCTGCAGGAAAATCCGGCACAAATCCGGCATTTAAGGTCCTTTTGGCCATTGCTGGAATTTCAACGGATCATCTTGCGTGATTCCGGCAAGTAAATCCGGTAAAATTCCGCCATTGTCAATAATAAATAGCGGAATCATCCGGTGAAAATATTGCGGAATTCTGCGTATTATTCCGCCAAAATTTCTATTAAAATTTCCGCTATCCGTACCGACAAACAGCGGATTTTTGGTGGAAGGTTCCGCTGCGGAAAACAGCGGAGATAGAGGAAGATCCGGCACGAATCCCGCACGATTCCTATAGGACTGTTTTTACTGGGTTATTTCTACATACAAAATTAATTTTTGTCTCGATAAAACATGTCACGTTCTTATAGACTTTTTTTATGATTGTCAAACTGATTAAAAATAATTCTCTCAACGCCATAAAATCTATCTTCAGACCTAAAACTTCTCTAGACGAGATAATTTGACACTTTAAATATATTTTTCTTCTTCATTTTCCACTCTTTTTGGAAGACAGAGACGCAAGATGTTGAGGCATTCAAAACCCATGTTAGCAACCCTTTTCGGAGGGGGATGGAAAGAATGGGGAAATTCGTTGAATGACTTATTTTTCTCAATTTCCCATATCAATAAGGATGCTTTTTAACGGATCCGTCAAAATGCCCTTTAAGCAGCTTTTTGTTTGGCAAGTGAAGAAAGACGACAGTTTGATTAACATTGACTTGTCGAATTTGTCTATTTTATGCTTTTATGTGAGCTTTTCTCACTTCGTGTGTTTCTGTTGTTCTTTCGCCTCTGTAAATAAGATTTGCAAGTGAGAAAAGTCACTCTTCTCTAAGCTTCTCAGCATCTTTTATGTCACTGGATCATTGTTAGCTTCTGTGTTTTTAATATAAACTTCCCCCTTCGGAATGTCTTTTGATGGTATTTTACATACTGTATTGAGGCCACGATTTATTTGCTCAAATGCCCAAATTCAGAGCTATAAAAAAAAAGCTCAACTGAAAGCTTATTGAGTTCAAATAGAATAATGTGTAATGAATATATATTTTTCATGTGATATTGAATTGTGGTTGAAAATGTGCTGCTTGAGAGTCTCTTTATCATGGCAGTCAAGTCTCGTTGGTCGATTTTGTGGGGGATGAAATAGGAAAATTCTCTATCATATTCAATAAACTGGTCATAAATTCCTGATGAAATGGAGGAGAGAGAGAGAGAGAAAAAATGTGTGGGATATTGGAGAAAATGGAGGGTTTTTTCTTAATGGAAACTAAACAGCATACAATTTATAAAGCATTCTGTGCCATTTTCAATACACTTCGCTTCTTCATTTTTTATGTGGTGGTCAATAGATGGGTGAATCTATATATTTTCCACTCCTGAATTGCCACTCTTTGCCTCCGTCTTAAGTGTGTTTTCGGTGAGGCTGAGTGTGTTGGAGAATCTTTGCTACTTGGTATTCAAATGTTGTCGGAAATTTCGTGAAAGGAGGTTTCATCTTTTGCACTTTTTTTTCTCCTCGTTGAGCTTCTTCACGATGGGATTCTTTTACTTCTTCTTCTGCTGCTGCTGCTCCTTCTCAATGGTCACATATCAACAATTGTGGAAAGCCTTATTCCCAGGATGATTTTGTCGTTTTTTTTTCCCCACACAAATGTGTGATTTTCGTCTGTAGGAAATCACACAGCTGAGCCTCTGAAAAAAATGGTATAAATCTATTTCTGGGGGGTTTGGAAAAAAGGATGTCTTTTCTTCCCATCCAAATCCAAGGTCTAATAAATCGACCAAGAATTGTAAATATTGAATATGACACGCAAAAGGTTTGTTCGCTCTTCACGGAATTGTCAAATAGAAACTCTTCAGCACACGTTGAACATTTTCCACCATCAACTTTGCCTCACATTAGAGCGCACGTGTGTGTGTGTGTGTTGGAAAGTGTCTCAAATATTTACTTTAATTAACTGAAACAATTAAACAATGTGAGACAATGGCTGAGGATGTTTTGTGTGGTGTTTTGCATGTGAATACCAAAGGTGGGGCGAAGATTAGATGGATGAATGCGGATCAGGGAAATTTTCATCCACACCAAACTTATACACCCGAAGAGAGAGAGATACTCGTCCTGGCAATGTGTGGGGTTTTTGAGCAAATATCCCTCGTCGTGCATCCTGCGTCCCTTTCTCACTTCTCGCTCTCCAACAGCCTTAATAGCCATGGTCACATTTGGGTTCAGTTGACAGCCTCAAAGTGCGCCGCACTCCGCATGTGAGAATCCCATCCTGTGTCCCTCAAATTGAGAGGACATTTATTCGCACCAAGGAGGAGATATTACAACCAAATTTACTATCATTTCCTGTAATGAAAGATTGGACTTTTTTTTTAATGTCTTGAATTATCTGCAACAGAAAAGAGATTCTTAATGTTTTTATGAAGTTAAAATAGGTTCAATTCGAAAGGACATGACTTTATTACCAATGGTGAGCAAGAATTGGATTTAATGTCTTAAAAGGGCTCAAAAACCCCTTTAGTTGCTCAAAAATTGTCTGTTTTCTTGCACTAAATCAGCATTTTTTGCTTCTTCCTGCAACTTCTGCATGAAGTCCTGAGCAGAAGAATCTCTTCTTTCTTCATTACTTTTCTCTGTTTCATCAATATGACAATTTTATCAACTGAGCAAACTGAGCAACAATCTTATTGTAATGGGAAATAACCTTCAAAAACATCGATTTTTCAGCTAGAACTGGAAATATTGTTATTTATTGGAAGATTCTTAAGGATTTTAATGAAAATCGCAAGCATTTGGGTGTTAAAATTCACTAACAATGTGCTAATTTCAAACACAACCTCAAAAAATATTTATTATCATATTTTCTACGCAAAATATGTCAATTTTATCTTATTTTATCAAATTCTACCTTTAAAAATGCTTCGATTGAGATTCTTTCACATTTCTCGAGGTAATTTTTGAGGTTATGGTGTTAAATATATGTCAAGAAGCTGAGATTTTGGAGCATAATTTTCTCCCCCTTTGATTCTAACATGAAGATGAAACACAAATGCGGACTCTGTGTTTGTCAAATGTTAGACTCTGTGGCAAAATGTTGAATCCGTTTCTGTAAATACGCCATGAATGTTTCACTCCTTCAACCCCTCGACCAAAAACACCCTCATCGCAAGCAAAAGTGAACAACAGCAGAGCTTCCAGTATCGCTCAAATTGCATCAACACTCTGTGGTTTGCATGTAATGTGCTTTGCAGAAGAAGAAAAAAAGCTTTCTCTCTCTCTCTGTCTGTTGAGCGTGTGAGACATCTTGAGAAAGGGCGACAAACTTCAATTTTTAACGTGTGTTTGCACACCTTTTTACCTTCGCCATGAAGTGGAAAATTCCCTCCTTCAGAGAGAGAGACAAAGGGAAAAAGTAGGTTTGAAAATGCAGATTAGAACAGGTGCATAAAGGGAGGGATTTATAGTTAAGGACTTAAATCAGCACAAGGTTTATTAACATATCGACGGGTGAGTGGAAAACTATGAAAAGCCAAAAACGCAATTTCTCAGCAGAGCATTTTCAAGACTTCACTTCAATATCGCGGCAAAATTTGCCAAATTTATCTTAAAAAAGCCTTCAAATCGTCCGTTAAAGTGAAAATATTGCTCTGAATTTATGATTTTGTAAATATTTTAGATGATTTTATCAGTATTTATTGGAATTTTTCACTAAAATATGTCAAAATTAATGGAAAATCTGAAAATTTTAATTTTTCAAAGTCGATTTTATCGAAAATAGTACTAAAAAATCAGTTTTTCATACTTTACTTGAATTTTTCCTTAATGTTTTCAAGTGAAAAAATTTAAAAGATATGAGAAATATTCATTTAAAATCTAAAGAACATTTTAGAATAATTCTGAAAATCTACAAATATTTTCTAAAAAGACGTTTTATGCATTTGACTGCAATTTTTGAGACATTTTTCTTTGGGAAAAATTGTTCAGCGTAAACAATGAAAATTCGACTTTTCATTCGCAAAACATGACAATTTTTTTCCATTTGTGCTTTTTAGATAAATCAGATTTTTTGCTATTTTCTCATAAGATAAAAATCTCAAAATTTTTGTACAGAAAGAACAAATAAAAAGCTTTTCAAAAATTCATAAGACGTAAACTATGATAAATCGACTTTTCATAGTTTTCAATTCACCCGTCGATAAATTTCTACCAAATTGAATTTCAACCTGAAATTGAGCTTATTCAGTGTGAAAAGTTCAACAATTGAGTTTTTTGGATGAGGTTAAAATTGACCAAAAAGGATCATTAAAATTATGAAAATGATCATAATGAAATCCAATCATAATTTTAACGTTGTTGAGAGAAGTTCAAATACATCATTTGCCATGTGCGCGATTCTCTCGTGGGCATAAAAGGCATAAAATTAGTTTCGTATCATATAAATTTGTTTATGCATAGAATAATATGGCAATAATCATAACTTGGGGTCTTTTATAGTTTCTATTTAACTGAAATATTCCTATAAAATGTTTATATGTCAGTGTGGGACCATGAAAAGCGACGTTATTGCGCTTCTCTCTCTCTCTCTCGGTGTGTATTGTGGGATTGTCCGGAAGTTGCAGGCGAAGAACTTCTTGCTTTAATGGCGCTGAGGCGAAATCAGTTGAATTTTCTCACATGTGTGAATTTTTCAGATGTCCAGAAAATGTAATTCTGTCAAAAGGATAATGATTTATGTACTTTTGCTGTGCCGTTGAGCTTTGAACTTTTCCATATTGGCACAGCTTTTTTTTCTGTCCGTTTTGACAGGCTTTATTCATCCTTGTTTTCTTCCCCTTTTCATTTTTGCAGGATTTGCAATCTGAAATTGAATCGCATCGAGTGGTTTATGATCGCTTGGACAATACGGGCAGGAAGCTTCTTGGCTCTCTGACATCGCAAGAGGATGCTGTGATGCTGCAGCGTCGCTTGGACGAGATGAATCAGCGATGGAATCATCTGAAAGCCAAAAGCATCGCCATCCGGTGAGTTTATTATCCACGCTTAAGGCATTTTCTCTATGCAATTTGTGCGGAAATTTGCGTTTGTGTGTGTGTGTGTATTTTCCCATCAATCCCCTTTTGTGAATTGCCATCACAAAACACGACGTTTTATGCTAAATAGTGCTTTTGAGAGGAAGTTACATATTCACAATTGGATTTTCCACTGGCAACATTGGCCAAAGTTGACTGTGTGGTTTTTGGGAATGCGGAATTTATATGCAATTGGAATCCCTTTTCTTTTGTCTGATGGAAATGCACAAAAGCTTTTTGTGATATTATTGCAACAATTTAAAAGCTCTTTAGCTCATCGTCTCGACAAATATTCTCATGAATTTTACAACAAGAGTGATTTTACAAAAATTCTGTCTTGTCTTTTTGCCATTCAATCCCAGTAGAATCAGCAAAGATAGAATCACGCGGGATTCTCATCGGACTGTCCGTTGTGTCGGCAATGGATTTTTATGGGAAAATCCACTGTTTTTCCTGACTTCTATTTTATTCCGTTTTTATTGCGGAAATCTCGCAGGAAAGTCCTTTGAAATTCCTCCATTAATTGCATTTGTAGTGTGAATATGGCGCATTTTGTGCCCGCTGGTAAATTGCAAATAATGGAGACTTAGGATTTCATTCAGACGCTATGAACTCTTTTTAATCGTCTATCATGGCATAGAAAATGGAGCAAAAATGCTTTCGCGGTTCAGAATGAATAAAAAGAGAGAAAATGTACTAGATTTTCGCATAGTATTATTCACTAAATATATTTCTATTGCGAAAATTCTCATTCCTGACTAAGGATAAATGTGTCAAATCCTCAAAAAACTGGAAATGTACGCTTTTTAGAGGCTCATTTCCTCATTATTCAAGATAAAATGTGTGACATTTCCCCTCCTATTCTTTGACAGCTGTTATTTTGACAGAAAAGCTCCCAAATATGGGGAATACAGTCATTCCAAGATGCTCTGCAGGCTTCGGAGCAAACGCCTATGGTGATGGATTTTGTCTTGACATTTTTTTGCTTAAGACATACTACAAAATATATCTGTTGTGTTCTAGGACAGTACAATTGACAAACAGTGGACAATCGACGGACACCGGAATGTGTTTTAACTGGGTTGTTTTAATGCCTTTCTCTATGGCGTGTTGCGTATGATTTCCACCAGATTCACATTGAAGATGGGTTTTAGAATGCATATAGTTGAAATGCACGTGAATTTTCCATAACAATCACAAGAGCTTTTCTCTACACTTCATGTCCAAATGACACGCTCTTTTTCCACTGCACAGCAGCAGCAACTCACAGTGTTTCGCCCCCCCCAGAAGAGAGAGAAGAAGAAAGAGATTGTAGAGTGAGCGAAGTATACTTGAAAATCTTCAACACGTACTGCTGAGAGAATGAAAATATTTCATTTCTAATGCCATTGCCATGGGTGCAAAAGTATCACATGTCGTGGCATGAAAAGAAATCTGCAAGAGAAATTTTCTCTACTCTGAATGCAACTTTTCGCATATTATAACTTATGTGTGCATAAATGTTTGCAATATTAAGGGAAAAGGAGAGAGTCCTGAACTGAATTTTCATGCAATATAATTCATCAGATTTCCACTCATTCACTTCACTTTTCTGAAGATGGTGAAGTAAAAATTCTTTTAGTGAATATTCAATGCGCGTGATTTTGCTCTCATCTTGATGAAGGATTCTTAATGAATTTAACAGTTTAGTAATAAATCATTTGGTGAAATATAATTAAAATTTCTCATCGTTTTTCCTTGCAACTTATGTAACATCAATCACTTTGTCGCTCCCATTCGTCCTGTGAACTCCTTTTTTGGCGCCCTCCACAATATTGCTTCGGCCATTGGCAAAATATCGCGCGCAATATTGAAAATGTTGAAATACCCAAACTTACAACTGCTGTGCGGGGAAATTAAAAAATAATAGCTCAAAGTCTTTTGAAAAATGATTAAAGGCACCCAAATGAGGGATGAAATTCCCATCCCTCTCTCTCTCTTGTTGTATACAAATCTCCTAAGGATAAAAATATGCGGTGTATCAGGTGAAAAAAAAGGGCGATTAATATGCAAATCTCTCTTCTCTCTGCTATTTAATCTCTCGAGAGCCTTCTTTAGGCGTACAAAAATTTGACGAAGATTCATTGTACAGTGAAAAGACCTGACCAAGCTTGTGCCAGAGATTACCATCATTGTCGCTCAAATCCAATTTCTCTCTTGACTTCTTTCCACCCTCGTGGAGTGTATTTAGTAAATTAGATTGTCATATTTGAATTGTTGTGATCTCTCTTCCATCTCCAGGCGCTCGACGCCCATAAATATCCGCAAATTGGAAGTGTCTTTGGGACATTGTTTGGTTGGTGGATGTGAAATGTGCAGTGATTTTGTTGGGAATTCTTGCTAATTTTTAGATATTTAGATATTAGATATTTAATGCGACAATAGGACAAGGTGTCCTCTCGGATACAAATGAAGTTATATAAAAAAACAAAGAAGTTCTAAGTGCAAACTTATATGCGAGGAGCTGTGACGGTACTTTGGAGTATCAGCTCCCTCTTCCACTTACGCGGCAACATGTTCCAAAGGACAATTCTCTCAACAAAGAGTGAATTGTGGAGAATGCGACTCCTCGATCACGGCACACTGAGAGAGGAAGACCTGACAGACGATCCGGCAGCCAAGAGCCAAGATATCCAGGCCGGCCCATAAAAAGTAGCCGCGAAATAAAATCGACGGCTCTATCTTCAATATAGCTCAAGACTAGCGTGCCCAGTATCGTGCTCTCATAGGGAGATACATGATCAAATCTCCGCAAATCATGGACATATCTCAGACAGGAATTAAATGGCTTTTTCAAGCGATCACGGGTCTCCATGCTAGCGCAGAAGAAGAGCTCCGCTCCATAGGTGAAAAAGGGAACTATAAGCGCTCGGACCAACAGGAGTCTGGTGCCACTGGGTGTGAAATATTGGAGGCGCCGCAACGTACGCAATGTAAGAAAGACCTTCCTGCAGATCTCAGAGACATGGTCTGACCAAGTCAGTGAACTATTGAAAATGACGCCCAAATTCTTGACTCGATCAGAGAAAGGAATGACTTCATCCGAGAGATAAAGCGGAGATGGGACAGGACGTCTACTAGGCGCATGAACGATTAGGGCCTGCGACTTTTTGGGATTGAGAGCAAGGCCATTATCAGATGCCCACTGAGTGACCCGGCGAAGATCATCGTTCATTGCCTCAAAAGCAAACTCGGGGGACTGAGGGTCCTCGAAGCAATAGATCTGCAAATCATCTGCATATAAGTGATAACCGCAGTATCTGAGACACTGCGGCAACTCATTAATGTACAGGGAAAACAAAATGGGTTCCAGGATGGAGTCCTGAGGAACACCACTGGTGAGATCACGAGGAGATGAGGAGGCATCACCAGACCTTCACTATCTGTAGTCTGGAGCTCAAGTAAGAGCGAAGAAGCTGCGAAGCAGTACTGGAAAAGCCGAAGCGGTCAAGGAGCTTATGGCACAAGAGCTCATGGGAAATACTATCAAAAGCCTTCGAGAAGTCTAAAAGAACCAAGAGAGCAAAATTTTGTCTCTCTCTTCTCGCGTCAGCTTGAAGTTGAGACAGTGTCGAATGGGGGCGGGGCTTGCAAAGGGGCGTGGCCTCAGTAGCCAATAAACATCTTTTACAGCTTCCTTTTCAGCTGTTCTGCCAAAAATTCAGACAAACACAAGAAGCCAACCTTGAGTGCTAAATATTGTTCGGCAGAAGATGAATTGTCGTAATTTTGTGGTGAGAGTGAGATAAATTATTGATGTTAGGCTTGTCATCAAATGTGTATTTATTAATAAATTAGCTTTACAAGGCGAATGTTAAGGAGGCGATAATCTTCTGTTATAAATCAAATTTCTCAAAACCACCAAGCATTACAACAGGCCAAGAGAGAGAGAGAGAGAGAAGAGCTCTCGCTCTGACATTGAGGGTGGATTCAACGATATTCCAGCCCTCCGAACTATTTAATATGATGATGATTAATCATGCAAATTTTGTAATATGCTAATTAATTCAAGTGGGAGTGTTTTGTGGATAAATTGAGGTGTGCGACAAAAGCCCACTTGAGAGCATTGGTGCTCTTGAAAGTGAGGCGACAAGCATAATTTTAATCTTTCTGCACTGAGAAAAATATGTTCTTGAATCGAGAAATGATTATTATTGCTTTGAGGCTGTTTTAGCGTAAAATTAATACCTTTTTCGGCTTGATTTCGGCTTGAAATTGAACTTAAATTGAGACTTTTTCATTCTAAATCAAATAAAAAATTTATTTCTGCGAAATATGATTAAAATTTAGAGAATTTAATAAATGTTTCTCAATTATTCTTGGACTCAAAAGGAAGAAATTTTTCAATGTTTCGTCTTAAAAGGAAAAAAAAACTGAAAATTGAGACTAAAATCCATGAATAATTCAATTTTAATCATTTTCTAACCCAAAAACAGACCAAAAAACTTACTTGACTCAATTTTAGTCTGATTTTTTCTCTCAGTGTTTGCACGGCGTGAGATTCCTTCGAAATGCGGTGTAGGAAATTTATGCGGAAATTCACTCAAACTGTTTGTCAGGCGCGTCACAAGCTTAACCACACAACTGATTTTCATCTGGCGTGTCGAGAAAAGTCTGTTGAGAAGTGTCAAAATGAATTTTTCATGCTGATTGCGCTCCGGAAAAGTTCCCAAAAGCTGCACGAGAGGCAAAAAGGTGCATCACTTTTCTGATGCAGCTTGACATACAGCAAAATATTAGCCGTGAAACTTTGTCTTATTCACTGGCAAAAAGGGGGTGGGGTGGGGGAGAAAAAACGCCTTTTTCCACCTCCAATTTTCCCTATAAAACTTTTTTTTCCAGCTAAAAGGCCAACATGAGAATCTAATTAAAAAATTCACCAAGATAAAATATTTGGTAGATAAAAAAAAATTTCTGGTCATCTTTTGACCCCTTTTTTTTCGCGCACTGAAAAGTGGAAACCAATGAAATATTTTATGAAAATATGTATGTTTTTTCTCTCTCTCTTTCACTCGGGGTTTAATGGAAAACTTTTTTTCCACTTCACCACCAAAAGCAAACTGATGCCAGTGAAAGCTCCACAGTGAAAAGCCACCGGCGGATTTTGATGGGATTTTCGCGAATTTGTAACATTTATACGGCATTTTGGAATTTTCACCTCTTCCACGCACGCATCATCCGCTGAAAAACCACTTTCACAACCCTCACACACAGCCAACCCCCTCTTTTCGACCCCCTCCGCCACCTGTTCTGGCTGTGGTGGTGGTGGAAAAAAAAGCCGCGTAGGGGAAAAAATATGAATTATGACGGGAATTAGGGCAGTGTTTTACATGCCCGCACAGCATTGTGGGTCGCGATGGGCGTTTGTTTATCATCCCCAACCCCCACCCTTGGAATGGTCCAAGTTCAAAAGCACCCGCGGACGCGCCACAGTGAAAATCCCGTCAAAAAGGTGATTTGTTTACATTTCCTGTTAATCTTCATAATCCACGCTTTATTTGTGTTGGGATATTTTCCAACAATATATTCGATATGGATAGCTTTTCACGCTCCCCGAGAGAGAGAGAGGGTGAGAGGGTGAGTTTTCCACCCTCCTCTCGGCCCTCGACCAACTGTCAGTGCACTGAGAGAAAAGTTTTTCGGTGTAATTTATAGGGAAAGTTTTTCAATATTTTCCAATCGATATGCCAGATGGAATTATAAGTGAAATTTTCAGGATTTTGATCAATTAAAATTTACTCACTGAAAGTCGTCGAAAAGGGGGTGAACTTTAATGTGGAAAGCTTTTCACGCGCGCACCAGTTGTTCTTGATGAGGTGAAGGCGTGAATTTTCCGCACAGTCTTAATCATCTTGTCTTTGAAAGTTAGAAAGAGTTGAATTTAGAAGCATTTGAAGAAAGTTCAATTGAAGATTTTTTTAGATCTTAAATTCTATGTGAAATTTAAAGAAGAAAAAGAATAGAAAGTAAACCAATTGGAACGTCATTCATAGAGTTTAAACAAAAAGAATGTGGCAAAGAAAATTATAAATCTGTGTTTAAATACAGAAATTAGAAGATTTTTGTGAATAATTTTATTTTGTGGGTAAAATATGAATATTTCTCATATCTTTTCAATTTTTTCTCATTTGAAACTTTAAAGAAATGTTCAAGTAAAGTATGAAAAGTTGATTTTCCAGTAATGTTTTTGAATTTTTTAATTAATTCGGCCATATTTTAGTCAAAAATTCCGATAAATACCAATTAACGAACGATTTGAGGGCGTTTTGAGGGTTTTGAAGAAAATTTGGCAAGTTTCGCAGCTTTATTAATGATAAAAAGCTCGAATTCGAGCTTCCATTTCCCCGGCGACACACGATTTAAGTGTAAAACCTTGCGTAAAACCCTAAATATCCGATTATAGATTGTGTATTAAGGAAATGTTGTGTATTTAATGGTTTTTGCAAGCTTTTCAGCTGAGAAATTCATCAAAAATTGTGCACAATAATTTCAGTATTTGATATTTCTAGTCAAATGTCACTGCATCCCCTAATATTAGCAACCCCTTTGATTTGGACAGTAAAATTGCCAGTGGATTTCTCACAGTGCATTAATACCGGAGGTAAATTGGTGGATAGAAAAATTAAAATTTTAATCAAAAACCTCCAAATGAAGCAGATTAAAATGCAGTGCAATTTTTGAACTCTCTCATTTTAAATGCTGATTCTCAGCACTTGTTTTAATTGGTGCAAATTTCTTTCGCTTTTTCTCTCTCACTCTCTTGTGCACATTTGCAAAGCTAGGCAGAAAAAAAAACGAGTGGAGAAAAAGCAGGGAAAGAAGTAAATAAATCCCCAAGTGAAATGAGGGTGAATAAAAATGCCCACAAAATGTTGGAAGGAGTGGAAAAGCTTCTTAAGGTTAGGGTGGATTCTTGCTGAGAAAATGGAACAATCATTGCAAAAGGATTGAGACTCATTAAAATTCCTCCCTTCACACTGATTTTTCCATCCTTTTCCGCTCGTTCTTGTGCTTTTTTCTTCTTCTCCCTCTCGCAATTGCGTGAACAATTCTTTATGGGATTGTTTATTAGAATGATGTGAAATATAAATAGATAAATTTGTCCTTTGGAATGTTTCTCATGTTGTCTTTCACTCTCATTTTCCGCCTGTTTTTCTTTTCTTATTTGCTCGCACAATTTCTCCTTTTTTTTCGGCGACATTCCAACTATCATGAGAATTGCTGAAATGTGATTTTGTGCCTTGAATGGCGCTTTCACACCCCCAACTTATCCGATTTCAATTTATTTCACTCAATTTTATCTCCTCCAGCAGCTACTCAATATCTCTTTTATCCAATTGTGTGTGTTAGATATGTCTTGGGGCTGATGATCATTGGTTGAGGGATAAATGCGCGAAGGAATTTCTGCTTTAACACATAACCCAAAAGCTTTCTTCTCTTCCTCCCCGCAACTTTCTGTCGCTGCTTCAATGCCTGTGGCTTCAATGTTGGGAGGAGAAAGAGGAAGAAAAAGAAGAGTTGGAAGAAAAAAAAAGCCAGAAGGATGAAAGCTCGTGTGATGTTGCGGAAAAGAAAGCTCACGTTCTCTCTCAAATGGGGTATGAATCACTCCAATAACTCACGATAGAGTTGAATAAGATGCTGAAGAAGTGGGAATTATAGATGAGAAACTTCAATTCAAAGCACTTCGCGTGGAAATTTGCAAATTTCTCCATCTTATCTGAAGAAGACATTCTGGCAGCTTTTCAGCTCTGCTTCGGATACAATTTGTTGAAAAGGTGGCATATTTGTGCCTTCACCCCAACTCTTCTTCTTCCTCCTTCTTCTTCTTCGCGCGCACAACTCTCAGAAAGATGCACTCTGTTGAATTTACATACAATTTACATAGTCTGTGGGCGGATTGCTCAATGAAGCGCGCGCGGGAAAGCTTTCCTCGCTGTTCGCCCAGATAAGCTAATTTGCGGGATGATTTCTCAATGAGTCTAATTGTCTGGGATGTTTTCTAACCATCTTTTTCCTCTCTGTTCGTCCTTAGAAATCGCCTGGAGTCGAATGCTGAGCACTGGAATGCGCTGCTTCTGTCGCTGCGCGAACTCACCGAGTGGGTGATTAGGAAGGACACGGAATTGTCAACGCTGGGCTTGAGTCCTGTTCGTGGCGATGCGGCGAGTCTGCAGAAGCAACTTGTGAGTATTTATTTTCAACGGGAAAATCCCAAGGGGGAGAAAATGTCGACGGGGGAGAATTGAAAACTGCTAAAAGTTATGTTTTCAGCACAGAATTTACCTCAAAGACCACCTAAATCGATCAATTAAGTGTCAATGTTGGATCTTTCTGAATTTTTCAGTACATTTCAATCATTCTTTATTGACTTTTCGATGGAAAGATTGCGTTATTTAAATATAAATGAGATCTAGAAGAAGTTAACTATAAAAATCGACTTTCAACAGTCAAAATCGTCCTTTTTCAGGAGAACAAATAGAATATTTTGCATTAATATTGCTGAGAAATTTACCAAAATTACTTCAAAATTCTAAAAACACTGTCAAATTGTTAATAAAAGTGCTAATATTGCTCAATAATAATTATTTTATGAATGTTTTAGTTGATTTTGTTATAGTATTTATTTAAATTTTTCGCTCAAATATAGCAAAGTTAATTTGAAAAACGGAAAATATTATTTTTTATAGTTTCCGAGTTACATTTTATTCAAATAAGTTCTAATAAATCGTCTTTTCATATTTTTCATGAACATTTATTGAATTTAACCTCAAAAATAGACTTGTTTTCTGCGCTTGACTGAAATTTGAGACAATTTTTCATTGTTTAACACCACAAAACATGAAAAGTTTCTCAATTGGAGTTATTTGGATAAAAAAAAATGTCTTAGTTTTGCCACATAAAATACAAATCTCATAATTTCTTCAATAGTAGAACAGAAATCGCCTGAAATTACATTTTCCGGATACTTTTTAGACCGTAAACTTCTAGACAATTCACTTAAAATGTGTGAAAAGTCCTTTTTAGAACTCCTTCAAAGCATATTGCAGGATAATAATTCATTGCGACTCTGAATTGGACGCAAAATAATGACTTTCCAGTGAAAAATGAGTCTGAAAGCTCTTAAAATTGACATTTTCTTAGACTCTCATGTTTGATTTATCATCTTTTTTTGTAATTTAATCACTCACAACTTCTTAAAATCATACCGACAATATTATCTCCTCCTTTGGAGTGTGCTGAAAATGCATTTTTCTACTGAAATTCTGGGTGAAAATGTGGCGTTTTTCTGGCCCCCAACAATATTTATTAACATTGAGCAATTTTGGTGGTGGAAATTCGACGCAAACTACGATAAAACATCGCGGGGTGAATTTATTGTTGAACGAAATCTGTAATGACTGAAAAATCAATTGATTTAATCACTTTTCCGGGCGCTGTGAAATTTTCGTGTGAGTGTAATTTTTCCACATCAAAATTGATTCTTTCAGCGCTCGAGGGAGATTTTATTGGCGCAGTCATGAATGAGAGAATTTCACTCTGTTGCAAACTATAAAGCTTTAAATTGATATTATATCTCGAAAGGGTGGCTGAAAACGGCGCCTGTAAATGTGGGTGAGTTCACTGGGAGATTTTCGTTCGGGGGATGTTTTCACCCTTGTCTTGTGCATGTCGACAACCGGTTTGTACATTAAATTCAACACACATAACTTGGGGGATTGAAACAATAGCATTTATAGGTATGTGGGAAATTGCTGTGTGCGATCCTGAGCGAGAGAGAAAGTCAGTTTATTGCAATTTCAGAGATAAATTTCCTCCTTTCCTCTCTTCTCTCTCTCTCTCTCTCTCTCTCTCTCTCTTCTGGACACACACAGAGAGTTGCCGTAAATAGGAATTAACAGGATGGAATTGTCGAAGCTTTGTTCATCACCACAAACACACCCTGTAGATTGGGGCTCTCGACAAACCCCAAAACTCATCCCCTTGAGCTGGAGTTGTGACTTTACTTATGGGTAAAAAGTGCATCAATTTGCATGTGAAGAATATGTGGAAAAAACGTGAAAAAATCTATCAAAGACGCGCTAAAACGTGGTCTGACAGAAATCACACATTCTAGAGAGTTGTAGGCTGTTTTCTGCCTATTCTAAAGAGCCATTTTTCTTGAAAATCCACCAAAAACTGACGCCATTGTGAATATTAATATCAAAAAATGCATTGACAGACTTTTACGGCAAATACCGACCTTGAACATCATTTAGCTGCCATTTGACGACCTTGACTTATTCTAGAGAGTTGTAGGCTGTGAAATAACCTTTCCAAATCCGTGCTAATCTTGACAATCGGACAAGAACTTTGGAAGATATAGACAGATAACTGACAGAAAGCAGAAGCAAAAATGTCTCAAATTGATTAATTTGAGCATAAAAACTGTTTAAAAAGAATTTAAAATTAATTTATGCACAAACTGAGCTTCAATTTTAATGATTTTTTACTATTTTTACAATTGAAATTAACATGCTACAAATACAATTTGTGAAATGTTAACAATTCGCCCAACACTTTGTGCATTTCTCCTATGAAAAGTCCTTCGACCGCACTTCCTGTGCTCGCTCTCTCTCTCTCTCTTGGTTTGCATTCTGCAAAAAGTTTCCGTGGCGGAAGAAGAGGAGAAATTCACACAGACGATTTTACATTGGCCACATTCCGATGGTTAAATTCATTTCAATAGACTTGCAAATGCGAAGCAAAGTTTATGTTAAGTTGTGTGCCAGTGAAGAATATTTCTTCTCACACAATATTCAGTTGATTGGGAGGAATGATTTTGAATCAGTGGGAAATTGCATACGTCTTGGCGCTTTTTGAAATTCTCCCCAAAACATTTTATTCATATAGTTTGAATTCTTGCGCAAAAGTCCCTGAGGTGAATTTGATCGCTTGTCGTGAAAATTCCCAGCAGTCGTTAAAAAAGAAGTCCTTAAATGCCGAGGCTCGAAAGAATGCGCAAATGCAAAAATGAAAATATATATATATCGACATAGTTTATCCAAGAGAATGCATGGAATTTTGCTGCTCCACTGAACTTGCTGTTCTCTTAATATTGAGGAGAAGAAGGTGAAGAAGTGGGCGGGAAATTTTGCAAATTCCAACCCCTCGAGAGACTCCGGATGAAAAATGCTCTCTCGATGGAATTTTGCAGCCCTTCTTGTTATGTTCAGCATTTCTCCTGCAATATATATGCTTGTTTAACGAGAGTTCACCGCGTGTCGAATTATGTGATTTGTCACACAATATTGCGCAGTGATTTGAACAACTTCATTGAAAATTCATTTCACTCCCTTTTAGCGCCACTATTCATTCATCATTATTATTATATTAGATGCTTTCCCCGGATTATTATACAGACAAATATACTGCGATGACAAATTTTATGACGCTCGCGTGGGGAATTTGAAGGCCAAAAGCACCCTCGAGATGTCCTAAAGAGTCCTTTAAACACTCGTGGCAGAATTTATAGCTTCAATCTCTGCTCTAAAATCCTTTTTTCACCAACGAGGAGATAAAATGATCATTTTTCTCTGGATTTCCTCTGATTTTTACGTAAAAATCCTTTTTTTTTGGTTATGCAACGAATAAAGAATGGATTTAATGAAATAATTTGGGTTTTTTGCACATAAATTGGTAAAATTCTTCATTTACATGTATTAAAGATTGCTTTTGTGAACTTTTAACGCCCAGAAACTCTGCAAATTGTGTAAATGTCAAACATAACCTCAAAAACATTGATTTAGACTTGCAAAAATGTTTCTTTAGCAGATTTTCTGCACGACTTTCACTCTGAAACAGCGATTTTGAATTCATTTTCTAATGATAACAGATGATTTTGTTACCTGGAAAGCTTTCAAACGGAGCTTTAAAAGATCTCTTAGTGATATTTTGAGGTTATGGCAGAGGAATTGACAAAATTCTTCATTTCCATGCATTAAACATTGCTTTTGTGAACTTTTAACGCACAGAAACTCTGCAAAATGTGTAAATGTCAAACATAACCTCAAAAATTATCATTTTGACTTGCAAGAAGTTTATTTAGAAAACTTTCTGCACGATTTTAACTCTGAATCAGCAATTTTGAGTTCATTATCTAATCAAAACAGATGATTTCGTGATCTAGAAAGTTTCAAACAGAGACTTTGAAGATCTTTTGTTGATATTTTGAGGTTATGTTCGGAAAAGACACTCAAAAATGTGGGTTTTAGTGGATTTTTACAGAAAGACCAGAAGAAAGGTCAAGAGATTTATTATATTTTGAGAATTGATGATAAAGCTGAAGAATTTTTAAAGTATTTAGAATCTTTTGTCGGATGATTCTATTCTTTTTCACGCAAGTGTGCCTCGCGTGGCGGAAATTGGCGTGGAAAAGGGATAAATTGAAGAAGGGAAAATCTCATTTTCACCACTTTAATTGCAACATTTAATAAATATACACACGAGAGTGCGAAAATTTGCCATAATTCGCAAATAATGATGAAATCTCATGCTCAACTTTTCATATGTTTTCTCTCTCAGTCGCCGTGCAATAAAAGCACTTTATATTGCTTGGCATAAAATATGCCATGTCGAGGAGGGATGGAATTTTGTGGGGTTGAGGGTTGATATAGTAAATGAAAGAGGCTCTCATTGCACCCTCATTTCGCATCTATCCATATTATTTGTGGAGATAATCTGCACGGATTTGTGTTTGGGTTGAGATTTTGCACAAGAAAGCCATCGTATATCTTCTTTTATGCAATATTATTAAGTGAAGCGTAAAACCCTCCCCCGAAAGGGGATGTAATCCAGTGTGTGTGTGTGGCTTTTGAGGGAGGAAATTGTATTTGAAGAATTATTAAATGATAAAGTGTCGACGAGAAAGCTTCAAAAAATTGATGATTCTCAATGTCTTTTCACACACACTTTTTCTTGGCAGCAGTGATGGGCGAATTTTTTACATTTTTACATTTACACAATTCTTTACATGGTAAAAAATGTTTTCTTTACACACTTTATTTTTTACATGTAAAGAAAAAATGTAAAATATGAAAATTGGGTTCAATTTTTCGAATCGAACATTCGTTAATATCGGAAAATTTACTTCAGGCGTTTTTCCATGAAGCCAAAATCATTAAGAGTTTTGTGAATTTTACCCTCGTTTAGGTAATTAAGACCAAAATGTGCAGACAGATTTCTCGGTTTTATGATTCTTAGGCAAAAATTTAATCTCTTGCAATCCTTGAAGTTCTTGCCAAGATATTTGCTAAACATGGATTTTTCCCGCTGTGCATTCTGGATAAGCATAATAAGCAACTGTCACATTGTTCTTTTCGTCCATGTGAAGATGATTTCTGAAGAGACGTTTTTAGTTAGGAATTGGCCATCGAAGCATATCCTGCGGGCGTCTATGGGGTTCCTGGGATGTCCGAAGCGCTTGTCCGAAGACTCAAGTGTGCTTAAAATGGTTTTTATTCGCCAAAAAACAACGAAATGAAGCAATCGGCATGAAAATCGTCTTCTCTTGCCCAAAATCTAAAGAATGAAGTTCATAAAATGCGATCCGACATTCCATAGACCTGTCCATTGCTGGATGGACATTCTTCTTCCTTGCTTGGTATTTTCCTCGATGGTTAATCGGCAGCAGAAGCACCTCGAAAAGAATACAAAAAATATACGTTCAGTTAGCAAATTTGCTTGTAAAATTAGAGTAAAACTTCGATATTCCATCAAACAAATGTATTGGAACATCAGTTGTTGAATTATTAACTTACCTTACTCAATTATGCCAACAATTTGCAGATTTTCCTGAGTTTTCACTGTTTCTTTACAATTTTGCGACTTCACGCGTATGTGAGAAAAAGTATTTTCTGCAATTCCACGGGAATTCCACGGGAATTCCACGGGAATTTCAGTAGTTTTTTTAAACTTCAGAAAAGAATTTTTACATTTTACTTGACATTTTACATTTTTCACACATTCTTTACGTGTAAAATGTAAAGAGGTATTTTTTACCATGTAAAGGCACAACACTGCTTGGCAGTGCAATTTGATGGCAAAAGTGAAAAATTAATAACCATTCTCTCACACTCTCTTGATGTACAACATGTACTTTGGGGAGATTTACAGACACTGATACATACTTCAATATCCGCTCGAGTATTCTTATATGTTCGCCGTCTAATATAATAAAAGTGTCTTTTGGGGAAGTTATGGTTTACGTTTATTGCAAAAATTGCAATCATTTGGCTCTCGAAGCAAAACCATCACGACTTTATTGCAAAACGTAAATTTTGGGCGTCTGTGTGTGTGTGAAAAGGTTTGGAAAATACTATCGATAGTGAGGAATTTTATACGCCAAAATATTTTGCTTGAAGGAACAGAAAAAAACGCCTGAATGTGATAAATTAATTGAGTCAAGTCATCGAAAGCGTTGCCATTCAAATGGGTCAGTGAAATTCCATTAAATTAAATTGCATTCAATGCATTTTACTCCATGTTTCCCAGTGTCTCTGAATGATGCGAGGTTGGCGAATCTTTTCACTGATGAAGAAGTGAAATTATAGTGATTAAAGGAATTTTCTTCCTCTATTTCTCTCCTGTGCATTTTTCCAACCTCTTCACACTTTCGCTCATCATCTTGTGTGAGCGCCAATGGAGAGTTTGCTGGATAAGCTTCTCTTCTTCTGCGGGAGTTTTTTTCTCTCTAAAATGTGTCACAACACCAGACGGAAGAGATTCATGGCAATTGAATGAGTCACACAAGAGGAACGTGGTGACTTTATTAGAGAGCGATGGGGAGTCGCCAGATGGATGATTTTTGCTTCTTCTTTTACCCCCAAAGCCAATGCGGAATGCAACGAGAGGGGAAAAAAAGATATCCACATGACAAGAATCTCCTTGACTTTAATAATAGTTAATAGTGTGACGGGTTTGTTTCATATGTGCTCCACATTTGTGGCACATAGAATTGCTGTGGATATACAAAACTCTCTGACACATTCTCGATATAATGTAATCACTGGGTTATTTGACATGTGATATCTTGAGCGGCAAATAAATCGATTGCCACAGCGACAGAATGCCTTAAGAAGTATCACCAGATAAATAGACATTTCCCTTGACTTTCCACCAAAGTGCAAAAGTAGATGAAAATTAATTAATTGCACTTTGATTTTATTTGCTGAAAATTTACATAATTTCAATTCAATCATATTTTCTCACTCTTCAATTTACATCCACACAATTTAATGCTTGAGAAAGTCCAGAATTTTCTCGGTGAGGTTGAAACAAGGGACAAATATTACGATCGACAAATTTTACTTAGATAAATTCAATTTCATTGATTTTCTAGGTTATGTGATTGATTTAAGCGCTTAAGATCATCAAATTTCTGTTTAAACTGAGAATATTTCTCTTTTCCTGGCAAATTTGAGCATTTTTGATCGAAAAAAAACTTCAAATTGATTGAGAAAGAGCTTCAAAGTTCATCATAACCTCAAAAAATCAAATTTTAGTCTAGAAGAATGATTCTTTGTGCTTTAAAGTGGCAATTTCAACCTCATTATCTTGTAGAAATGTTCAAAGATTCCTCACAATTTGATCAAAGTTTTTCCAAGCATTTTCTGAAGGCATAACTTAGATTATGATAAGGCAGAATTGAGAATATTTCGCTTTTTTTCTTGGTTAAATTTGAGCATTTCTGATCGAAAAAACCTGAATTTTGATTGAGAAAAAGCTTAAAAGTCAATCATGACCTCAAAATAATTCTTTGCTTAGTTTTTTCCACGGTTTGTGCTGTAAAATGACAAATTTAACTTGATAATCTAGTAGAGAAACTAATTTTCAAGCTTGAAAGGATTTAAATTCGTCCAAGAAGGACTTTTTAAGCAGGTTTCATAACCTCACAATTTGATTGAGTGTGAAAAACAGTTGAAAATGGCTTTAGAAGTGTTAAAGATTTTGGTAAAGATGCAGAGATTTGAGGAATATTATCTCCTCCTTGGGTTGAAATGTAGGAATTCTTCTCTTTTCCAACTCAGTAACTTTTCTTCTGCATTCTCGGTGTTGAGCATTTGAATATCAAATAGCTTGAGAAATGATAAAACATGTAGACTTTTTCCTACTCAATATATATTGCCAAGAATCATTTTTAATATTTTTCTCTCTCTCTCTTCTGAACCACAGAAGGAGAAGAAGAGGAAATTCTTTGGTGAAAAAAAAAGCTCTTTGCAAGAGAGAAGAGATATGAAAATTGAAATTCCACACACCAGATTTTTCACACACACACACAAAGATATATTAGATTTTTCGGCAAGTGGATAACAATTGCATAATATTTGCCAAGCGAGAGTTGTGAGAAATGGTGTAAAATGGATTTTCCTGTCGCTTCAGGACGACCACAAGGCGTTCCGCCGCCAATTGGAGGACAAGAGGCCGATCGTGGAGAGCAATTTGCTGAGTGGCAGACAGTATGTGGCCAGCGAACCGCCAGTGTCCGATACAAGTGACACAGAAGGTGAGTGTCCTCATATCAGCTGCACTTCTACCTCTGATTCCCGCGTGGCAATTGCAGCGCTGGACAGCGACTCGAGGTACTTGTCGGCGGAGGAGCAGAGCAGGGAGCTGACGCGCAGCATCCGGCGAGAAGTGGCCAAATTGTCTGAGCAATGGAACAATCTAATTGATCGATCTGACCACTGGAAGCATCGTCTCGATGAGTACATGACGGTGAGTTTTGAACTCTTTCTCTGTCCAGAAATTTTCCCCCTGAATTCATCACTTCACACTTCTCATATGCGATGTGTTCTCACAATTTGTCAGCAAGAATGGGGATTCTATTATTCATTCTTCTGCATGCAAAGCCACGGGGATGGAATTTGAGGCGAGTGAGATAAAAGTCCTCATAATCCTCCTTTCATGGTCTCCTGATACGATGTGCAAATGCATGGAGAGCAAGAGAAAGCAGAAGGAAAAAAAACAGCCACCGAAAAGAATGGCAAGGAAGGGGGTTGGAAAATACTCGTGTGATAAGCTTTTCCATCCCCCTTTTGCTGGAATCGATGCAAGAGTGAAGACACACACACCATGAGGATCAATTGGGTGGGATTTAGCCAGATTTTCCGATTTAAATTTTCACTTCAATGAGATTTTCTCTTCTTTTTCCCTTTCCAACACACTTTGTCTGTCCCCTTAACATACACAAATTGATACTGCAGATTGTTTTCTCGTGTCGTTCTTGCTTTTCTTCATCCCCTTTTTGACCTCACACAAAATTCTCTCTTTCTCTCTCTCTCCTGATGGCTGAAGAAATTTTCCTCTCCTAAGATTATTCTCATGTTTGTATTTTGAGTGTTGGAAGCCCGTGTTTTTCTTGTCGTTCTTTTTTTTTATGTCTTTTCCCTCCCGACGCGAGGAGGCGAAACAAGATGCCCAGAAGACGTCTCAAATGTGTAAATAGTGCATGATATCCGAGGACTGAAGCGAGGGCAGATGTGGCATCGCGCGAAGGAATGTTGATAGAAGAAGATGCGCAGTGTTTTATGTGGGTTTTACCAATTATTCCATTTGAAATTAAATATTTGAGGTGTAAAACCAGTAAAGTGGTGCGCATTTTGTGGTGTTTCAACGCACACACACACAGAAAGGATGAACAAAGTGAACAGAAAACCAAGTGAACAAGAAGGAAATATATTGTTGAACAACATGAAAAGGGAACAGCAAATGGAAAATGAATTTAAAAAAAATATGCCTTCAGCATTTGAGAACATCAGAAGTTCGTAAAATCACCGCTAGTAGCGTTGAGATCGATTTTAGTACGTTAAACTAACACTAAACGCATATTCTTCATTGATCTGTGACGCCATTATTTCAGCCGCCATTTTAGAATGAATTTAAAATGCAATAAATCAATCGATTCCCATTCAAAGAAGGAATGTTAAAAATGTGTTATCCAGATCAATCTGTGATTATTGCTCTAATTTCGAAGAATGAACATGAAAAATATTCGCAGTAAAATCTTTTTATCACGGAATTTCTAATTATTTAGTTGTGTTTTAAGAACCTTAACAAATTTCACAATTTTCCTTTTTCTAACACATCGTGGAATCGCTTAAAAACTCTGAAACACTGTTTTAACGTGAATATTAAGATGTATTTTTCCTTATTCACTTGGAATATTTAATTTTTACATGTTTTAAGTTTAACATTCTTCAGTTTGAGTGGGAATCGCTCCAAAAGTCAAATTTAGAACGTTTTCAGTACAGAAAGGACATGGAATGGAGAATCTCTTGTGAAATTAAATAGTTTTCTGATGAATAATGCCAATCAATCACCACTAGAGGCGCTAAAGGTGATTTTCTACAATTCAAATTCAACGATTTCGGCACAGTTTTCCGTTTTTTGCAAGGTTTGCGGAATAAAATGTCTTGCCATTCGTGCCATTCATTATAAATATGGAGGATTATATTCAACACCCAAGCGCACCATTATGGCATGAAAATTGATACTCAAAGACGATTATTTTATGCACAAGACTTTCGTTGCAATTATAATTTATTATAATGCACAATGGAATTCCCAAGAAATTCTATTAGTATTACTCAGTGTCTAAACGTGGTGAAATATGATATCATTTCGCCTGCACATTGCGCTTATATTTCTCTGATTCCTGCGCGATGCGACTCTTGCCAGACTGCTTGTCGCGGAAGCGTGGAGAAAATATATGGGGAAAGCCTGCAATGTGATCCATTTATGGGGGTTGAGATTCTCTTACGCTGCGCTTTGTGCTGCATCAAAGACACTGTGAAGATGTTGGACGAGGTCTAAGAGATTCGTGACACTTTGGAGTGTGATTTGAAGAAGAAAAAAGCCGTCCTTGAACTCTCTCTTAATCACTCTTAATCATCAAACATGATGCTGAAACATAAAAGTCACGTCCTGAGGATGTTTTCAATTTCACCCGCGTGAATACAAAGCGCGATCAAATTGAGGTCTTCAAACCAAGGGGGAGATAATATGCCTTAAATCTGTACACCACTTTCAAACACTTCCAAATTTGCCTGACACTTCTAGAACCTGAAGTTTTTAGACTGTTTCCACATCAATTCCCCAATTATAGTGAATCTCTTAAGTTTTTGTAACATTTTCTGGGTGAAACCATATAAAAATCGCTTTTTTGGACAAATTTTCCGAACATAACCTCAAAATATAACCAAGAGATCTTCAGTATCACCTTTCGGTATAGGCTGTTTTCACATTGATTTCCAAATTATACTGAATTTCTTAAGTTTCCATCCGATATTTCTGTAAGAATCGTCTTAAAAACGCATTTTTGAGTACCTTTTTCGACCATAACCTCAAAATATAACTAAGAGATCATCAAAAACTCCATTTCGAAGCTTTCTTGATCACAAAATAATCTCAAAACTGCAAATTTAGAGTCAAAATTGTCCAAAAGTTTGTCTAAATGGACATTTTACAAATTTAAATGACTATTTTTGAGGTTATGCTCGAGTTCAATACAATTTGCGCGTGTTTCTTGGCATCAAAAAGTGAGAATAGAGAAGTTTAATTGCTTGCAAACACTTAATTTTGCCGATGAATAGCAATTTCTCCGAATTGAACATAAGAATTGATGTGTTAGAATGTGAATTATTCAGTAAATCTGTTTTTGATTCGTTACATAACCTAGAAAAAAGATTTTTATTATTGATTTTGCGTAAAAATCGAAGGAAATTTAAAGAATTCGGAAGATTAGGCAGTCAAATAAACACACAGGAAAACAATATTGCAAGTTTTTCAACACTTTCACTTCCTAATAACTTCCGCTGAGCTGTACACTACTTCTGACTGTATTATCTTCCCCTTGTTTTTAAACTTATTTAAGATTGTGATAGAGAAAGATTCTCTCCCGTTGCACGATTCCATCGCAGTGGAAGTGAGAATAAGGAAATAGATATATTATTGTGAACTCAACGAGACGGAGAAATTATATTCAATTTACCTTCTTTTTTTTATTCTTGGCTCTCCGCATTCAACAATGGCACACAAGATGTTCTTGTTCACCAAGAAACTCCTATTAGCATATCGTTTGTCACGAAAATTTGTCTCATTGACCTCCCCGTGTGCGCACTGTTGTTCCCCTATTTTCCCTCTCTGTCGCTCACTCAACATTGTCCAAGACATCTTCGTGAGTTCTTTAATCCGGAATCACGACCCAGACACACTCTAGTCGATTTATCTTGAGTCACTCTCGCGATGTGAGCACATTTGTCAGAGTTGATGACGGATGATTGATCATTTTGCTAGATAAATCACTCCTGAATTCCACAATTCGCATCTAGATTGAGTGCATCTTTGGCATTGTTGTGTTTCACAGTTTTGAATTTCAAGTTGAAAGAGTCTCAATCATGCGCATTAATTGTTCTTCAAGTGAGGTGAAGATTTGTAGTTTGAGCGTCTCTTCAGCCGGGAGAGAAATGATGAGAGTGACATGAATTGAGGATAATTACATGCTGGCCTGCCAATTAATCATTGTGTGTGTGTTTGTGTGTGGAATCAAGGTGTGATCTACAGAAGTTATGTACAATTCTGCGGAAGTTTCTTGAATATATTGATCAATTTAAGACACATTCTGTGACTAAATAATCTCTAAAAACATCGTTTTTGCGCGTAAATTTGGATGAAAATTACGATTTAAGAACTTCTGTGTTGAAAAACCTTCTGAAATCAAACATAACCTCACAAATATTAGATTTTTTGGTTCTATTTATGTTCATCGAAAGCACTTTGTGCGTAGACAATTGAAACAGCTTTCATTTGGCGCAATCTGCACGAAAAAAGCTCAATTAGTTCATTTTTAATCAGCGATCAACCAGAAAAGACCCTCAAAAGCACTTGTCAAATGGCCAGCGCGGCCTGTCAAACCCATAGAAAATACACAGCGCCAGCAGAGACATCTATGAGCCGAAAGAATGTCGTTAGACAGAGAAGAACATGAATGAAGCGCCTTTTTCAGTCGAAAACACTGGATTTTCTAACCTCACAATTCGACGGGTGAATCGAAGACTATCAAAAGTCGTTTTTTGATAGTTGACGTCTTATGTCTGTTTGGATTGATCTTAATGTCTTCTTATCACGTGTGAAAACATTACATTGAGTGCATTGGCAAAAAATAAAGAAATAAGATTTTTCTTAAAAACTCCGCGTGTAGAAAATTTCTCAATGTTGCGTTGAAAAGTATGAAAAGTCGACTTTTAATAGTTTTCGCCGCACAAATCATCCTGATCGGAATTATATAATCATTATTCGATGAGCTAAAAAGACCTCAATTTTGCAGTTTTAAATCTTTTCACTGTTAAACTGACAAGAAACCAAGCCAGAAACCCTTCGTGAGTGTCTTTCGGTTTATAGACGGGAGACGAAAGTGTGAAAAAATGGGCAGGAAAAATGTAAAAAGTTGATTTTTACGAATTGTTTGAAAACAAAAATACACAAAAATTATCAAAAACCGACTTTTTGTACCAAATTTTCCCAATTCGTCAATCAACTCTTCGTATTTTAGTTAATATTGCAACAAATAACAGTGGAAAACCCTGGGAAATATTGCATAAAAATAGAATTGAGCAATTTTATCAATTTACTGAAAGATAACAGAGAGTTTATGGGAAAATTAGGAAAATTTCAAAGCAAAATGAACTCTCAAACATCAAATCGCTCTACTGAAAAAT